GTCTGTTTTTCAAGGCAGGCTTTCTTGGTGTAGCCCTGGCTGTCATGGAACTTTCTCTGCAGATCACGCTGGCCTCAAACTCACAGATATCTGCCTGCCTCCCTCTGCCTCCCAAGTGCTAACATTAAAGGTATTCACCACCACTCCCCAGCATAGTTACCATTTTCATAGCAAAACAAAATTATAAGTTAGCAATTAGGGGGAAGCCCCGTCTCAATATTCTAGACAGCTGTTTAGGCAAAGAGGTTTAAAAGGAAACTCCCTGGGACTGATGAGATTGCTCAGAGGTAAAGAGTGAAGCATTGCTCTCCAGAGGACCCAAGTGAGCATGCACCTACATACATGTGCACATACCCATACACAGTAGTAAGAGTAATAAAAGTAAATGAGTAGTATTAGTAAAGAAAACTCAGCCAGCTGTGGTAGTATCCTCCTATAATCCCAGCATTCAGGAGGCAGAGGCAGGCCAGCCAGCTCTATATAGCAAGTTCCCAGCCAGCTAACATTAGGAAATCTTTTATCTCAAAAGAAGGAAACTCCCTGAGTGACTTGAAACAAACATTCCACACGAAACAAGTATAAATACTAAATTATAATACATGCTCCTGAGGCCTCTGCTCTGGTTATTCTATCTCTCCTGCGATAACCACTGGAGAATGGCACTGTATTCTAAGAGTGAGAATTCTAAAAGGCACACTGAGAGGTAACAGAAGCTGGAAGGAGCCCAAATTCACCAATTTTAATTTCTGTCATTTCCCACCATATCATCAGACTGGTGAGGACTAGCAAATACCCCCACCCTTTTTTTAGTTGGTGGGTTGCGGGTTTTGCTTGTTTTTGTTTTGTTTTGAGATATGATCTCTCTATGCAGCTCTAATAGCCTGGGACTCACTATGTAGACAAGGATCACCTCAAGCTCAGTGTTTTGCCTGCATCTTAAAGGTATGCAAAACCTCGCCTGGCTCTTTTCTTTTCTATTTGTGCCTAGGTAAGTTTGAGAAAAAAAAACTGTGATGTGTTTTCTTTCTTTAGTCCTCCATGTCCCAACTCCCCACCCCTCAGAGTGGAGCCTTCAACATGCTGTCTAGCCAAGCATGAAATCCTGGATCCTAGTGCCTCCATCTCTTAAACGCTGGGGTTCCAGTGTACCTTTTGTAAATCCCTCAAGGCACACAGGTGGCCAGGCCTCTCCCTTGAGGACCTCCAACTACCACTCACAGAACACTCTAACTGCCCTAACGGCTGGACCCAGCAGCCCCCCGCATTGTAGAGTAAAAGCCCAAGCTCTGGACTTGAAATCCCACCAATCCAAAGCCTGGAAAGCTTCACCCTGAAAAATTCCACCCACCCAAATACACTCCCCTGAAGAGAAAGAAAAATCTCTATATAATTCTGTCTTCTTCTTAGTTCTGTGCTGTCTGTCGCCTGAGCAGAGGAGCCACCCTCCTGGGGGTTTTCCCTGCCAATAAATCTGTGTGAAAGGTGTTGTGTGGAATGACCTCTAGTATTGCTTGGCTCCCTACGGCCAGGATATCTTTCCATCGAGCTGTAACAACTGCACCTTTAAATGTTTGATATGCACCTTACCTGAAGAAACGAAATCTGTGAAGCGTCGTTTCCCCCTTTTTGGTCATTAGGCCTTCAAAGACTATTACATTAAGAAAGCTCTCGAATGCCCATGTAATTTTGTTTCGGGTAAATGTCAGTGTAACGGGAGGACACAGAGTCAAAGGAAGAAACCCCCGGGTCTCCTGTGCATGTCATTCCGGCAGCGGCTCAGACTGGCCAACTCTAACAGGAAGGCCTTGTTCCCGCGCGTCCCCTCACTGCTCAGACGCATGAGCTCCCTAAACTCAGCCATCAGGGTGGGAGGAAACTTCCAGGGCGTCCCGGGGCGAGCGATGCCCGCACCAGCCCTGCGGTAACGGGATGCAGCAGAGCTCCGCTGGTACCCAGACCTGCTTCTGAGTCAGCAGCTGTGGGTGGTGTCGACTTCCCGAGAGCAGAGGCCGGCACTCCCCATTGGTCAACGTGGGGCTGGCGGTGGCTCCTATTGGTCCAGTGCCGCGTCTCAGCGCGTGGCCTTCTGGGAGTTGTAGTCAGGGTTTCCCTGGCGCTGCC